AGCTGGAAGGCCACCACCTTCTCAACAACCTTCCCCAGGAAGGGAAGGTTGGAGACTGGGCGATAGTTGTTGAGGACAGCTGGATCCAAGGATGGTTTCTTCAGGAAGAAATGAGTTGATATATGAAATTAAGAGAACAAGAAGATAAACAATTTTATAGGACATGGGATTTATTGTATCACTGGTCAGATTTTAAAAAACCCATGGAATTGAAAATTATTAGAGAATGTTACCAACACCAAAATAATGGAATGATTTAAAATAGGATATAAAAAATACTTTATTATTGGACGTGTTGATGATGATGTAATGAATTATTATAATATAAATGAACCCATATTTGGAATACCTCATTTAAAATGAAGAAACAATAGTGATAATCAAACAAATGAAGTACTATAATATTAATGTATACAAATCTATTTGATTGATGATATGTGACTTTAGATAAAGTTTAAGCTGGTGACTATGGAAAGGACGCACAAAAACCTTGTAACCAATCGACACACTGTACATAATGGAAGATGTTTTTATGTTACATGTCTCGTTTGTCTATGTTTGTTTAAAAATAAAAACTTTATATAATAAATAAATAAATATGAATCCGTTGACAAGTGTCTGAATTTTGAGCACGTGACCATGGGATGCTGCAGTGGTTGAAAGAGTGAAAAATGGCCATGTCATTTTTTTCAGTGATGTTGTAACTTTGAGCAGTCATTAAATGAACTGTTGTAAGTTGAGGACTACCTGCATACTAAAACAATTCCACCAATTTGTGCCATTGTAATGAATGGTCACAAAACGAACTGTTGTAAGCAGTAGTGGGACTCAATTTTTTTTACTACCGGCTCTGTGGGCGTGGCTTGGTGGGCGTAGCTTGGTGGGCATGGCAGGGGAAGGATACTGCAAAATCCCCATTCCCTCCCGATCAGCTGGGACTCGGGAGGCAGAGAATAGATGGGGGGTGGGGCCAGCCAGAGGTGGTATTTACCGTTTCTCCGAACTACTCAAAATTTCTGCTACCGGTTCTCCAGAACTGGTCAGAACCTGCTAAATACCATCTCTGGTTGTAAGTCAAGGACTACCCATATTATACCTGTATTGTACTGCTTTTGGCCACCCTGATTCCTTAACGTCTTTGGGTCCCCACTCATTTTAATCAGTGGGACCAGAAATTGAACCCAGGACTTTCTGGATACAATTTAGTGCCCTGCCCTGAGAAAAGGATCAAAGCAAGATGCAACGGAAGCTTACTTTGGGGCTCCCGGGCTCTCTGGAGTAAGCTGTGTAGATCTCTTGGAGAATCCCTTTCCGATGCATCTCCTCCATTTCCTCTCGATAGAGATGGTCCAGGCTTGAGTGCCGGCAGCCGAACAGCAGGATCAGACCCCTCCCTTGGATCCCTAAAAACCAGAAGGGCAAAATCAGTTGGGCTTGTTAAGTAGCTCAAGGTACTGTTTGAGTCTAAATATGGAGAAGATTTCAGTATGCCAGTCATCAGAACGAACAGGAGGGCTCCTAAATGCCACAATATTATCACATTTCGAAAGAAGAGAAGCAACTCACAGTGTCATCTAAAGAGGAACAAAGCCATGTTGCAAAACCACAATTTAATGACTCAACTGCAGCACTGAATGGGACAGGTGAGCATGGGTCTCATGAAGGAAGCATCAAAGGCTGCCTCAGACTAGCTTGGGATTGACCTTTAGACCTATCTTAAAGAGGTTCTTTTTGTGAGGTCTACTTCACCGGATTAAGCAGATGTTCCAAAAGTGTAAGGCTTGTATTCCATGACCCCAAATAAGAAATTGGAACATCTAATTTCTAATTAGAGCTGTAGTGGCACAGTAGTTAGGATGCGGTATTGCAGGCTAACTCTGCCGATTGTCAGGAGTTCGATCCTGAGGGGCTCAAGGTTGACTCAGCCTTCCATCCTTCTGAGGTCAGTAAAACGAGGACCCAGACTGTTGGTGGGCAAGATGCTGACTTTGTAAACTGCCTAGAGCGGGGTGTAAAGCACTATGAAGTGTTATATAAGTTTAAGAGCTATTGCTAGTGCTAATTGTTAGATAATGCTAACCCCTAAACACTTCCCATTTCAGTGGCACGTGGATTGGTCCAACCAGAAAGTAGCAAAGCCCTCTTCACCTTTCTTTTCTAAGTCAAAGTGTCGTTGTTGCCAGAAGCTTCTAAAAGGAGCAATTCCTGTACCAGGACCAATCAGGATGCACGGTTTTCTTGGATCTTTTGGAAGTTGGAATCCAGCAGCACTAGATAACAATGAGACAAACAAATATCTTACTCAGTGATGGGATTCAAAATTTTTTACTACTGGTTCTGTGGGCGTGGCTTGGTGGGCATGGCAGGGGGAGGATACTGTAAAATCCCCATTCCCTCCCCACTCCAGGGGAAGGATACTGTAAAATCTCTATTCCCTCTCCACTTCAGAGGAAGGATACTGCAAAATCTCCTTTCCCTCTTCACTCCAGGGGAAGGATACTGTAAAATCTCCATTCCCGCCCCACTTCAGGGGAAGGATACTGTAAAATCTCCATTCCACCTTTACTCCAGAGGAAGGATACTGTAAAATCTCCATTCCCTCTTCACTCCAGGGTAAGGATACTGTAAAATCTCCATTCCCGCCCCACTTCAGGGGAAGGATACTGTAAAATCTCCATTCCCTCTTCACTCCAGGGGAAGGATACTGTAAAATCTCCATTCCCGCCCCACTTCAGGGGAAGGATACTGTAAAATCTCCACTCCCTCTCCACTCCAGAGGAAGGATACTGTAAAATCTCCATTCCCTCTTCACTCCAGGGGAAGGATACTGTAAAATCTCCATTCCCGCCCCACTTCAGGGGAAGGATACTGTAAAATCTCCATTCCCTCTCCACTCCAGAGGAAGGATATTGTAAAATCTCCATTCC